AAGGGTATTCAAATTGGAAAGGAGGAAATCAAATTGTCTCTATTTGCAGATGACATGATTGTATATCTAGAAGTCCCCATCATCTCAGCCCAAAATCTCCTGAAACTGATAAACAACTTCAGCAAAGTCTCAGGATACAAAATCAATGTGCAAAAATCACAAGCATTCTATACACCAGTAACAGACTTCAAGAGAGCCAAATCAAGAACGAACTGCCATTCACAATTGCTACAAAGAGAATAAAATACCTAGGAATACAACTAACAAGGAACGTAAAGGACCTCTTCAAGGAGAACTACAAGCCACTGCTCAATGAAATAAGAGAGGACACAAACAGATGGAGAAACATTCCATGTTCATGGTTAGGAAGAATCAACATCGTGAAAATGGCCATACTGCCCAAAGTAATTTACAAATTCAACGCTATCCCCATCAAGCTACCAATGACCTTCTTCACAGAACTGGAAAAAAACACCTTAAACTTCATATAGAACCAAAAGAGAGCCCGCACAGCCAAGTCAATTCTAAGCAAAAAGAACAAAGCAGGAGGCATCACACTACCGGACTTCAAACTGTACTACAAGGCTACAGTAATCAAAACAGCATGGTACTGCTACCAAAACAGAGATATAGACCAATGGAACAGAACAGAGGCCTCAGAGGAAATACAACATACCCACAACCATCTGATCTTCGACAAACCTGACAAAAACAAGCAATGGGGAAAGGATTCCCTGTTTAATAAATGGTGTTGGGAAAACTGGCTAGCCATGTGCAGAAAGCAGAAACAGGACCCCTTCCTGACACCTTACACCAAAATTAACTCCAGATGGATTAAAGACTTAAACATCAGACCTAACACCATAAAAACCCTAGAAGAAAATCTAGGCAAAACCATTCAGGACATAGGCATAGGCAAGGACTTCATGACCAAAATGCCAAAAGCAATGGCAACAAAAGCCAAAATAGACAAATGGGACCTAATCAAACTCCACAGCTTCTGCACAGCAAAAGAAACAGTCAGTAGAGTGAATGGGCAACCAACAGAATGGGAAAAAATTTTTGCAGTCTACCCATCTGACAAGGGGCTGATATTCAGAATTTACAAAGAACTAAAACAGATCTACAAGAAAAAAACAAGCCCATTCAAAAATGGGCGAAGGATATGAACAGATACTTTACAAAAGAAGACATACAGGAGGCCAACGAACATATGAAAAAATGCTCATCATCACTGGTCATTAGAGAAATGCAAATCAAAACCACATTGAGATACCATCTCACACCAGTTAGAATGGCGATCATTAAAAAATCTGGAAACAAATAAATGGTGTTGGGAAAACTGGCTAGCCATGTGCAGAAAGCAGAAACAGGACCCCTTCCTGACACCTTACACCAAAATTAACTCCAGATGGATTAAAGACTTAAACATCAGACCTAACACCATAAAAACCCTAGAAGAAAATCTAGGCAAAACCATTCAGGACATAGGCGTAGGCAAGGACTTCATGACCAAAACGCCAAAAGCAATGGCAACAAAAGCCAAAATAGACAAATGGGACCTAATCAAACTCCACAGCTTCTGCACAGCAAAAGAAACAGTCAGTAGAGTGAATCGGCAACCAACAGAATGGGAAAAAATTTTTGCAGTCTACCCATCTGACAAGGGGCTGATATCCAGAATTTACAAAGAACTAAAACAGATCTACAAGAAAAAAACAAACAAGCCCATTCAAAAATGGGCGAAGGATATGAACAGATACTTTACAAAAGAAGACATACAGGAGGCCAACAAACATATGAAAAAATGCTCATCATCACTGGTCATTAGAGGAATGCAAATCAAAACTACATTGAGATACCATCTCACACCAGTTAGAATGGCGATCATTAAAAAATCTGGAAACAACAGATGCTGGAGAGGATGTGGAGAAATAGGAACACTATTACTCTGTTGGTGGGAATGTAAATTAATTCAACCATGTGGAAGACAGTGTGGCGATTCCTCAAGGACCTAAAAATAGAAATCCCATTTGACCCAGCAATCCCATTACTGGGTATATATCCAAAGGATTATAAATCATTCTACTATAAGGACACGTGCACACGAATGTTCATTGCAGCACTGTTTACAATAGCAAAGACCTGGAACCAACCCAAATGCCCAATGATGATAGACTGGATAGGGAAAATGTGGTACCTATACACCATGGAATATTATGCAGCCATCAAAAACGATGACTTCAAGTCCTTTGTAGGGACATGGATGAACCTGGAAACTATCATTCTCAGCAAACTGACACAAGAGCAGAAAATCAAACACCGCATGTTCTCACTCATAGGCGGGTGTTGAACAATGAGAACACATGGACACAGGGAGGGGAGCACTACACACTCGGGTCCTTTAGGGGGAAATAGGGGAGGGACGGGGGGGTGGGGAGGTGGGAAGAGATAGCATAGGGAGAAATGACAGATACAGGCAAGGGGACGGAAGTCAGAAAACTACACTGCTATTTGTGTACCTATGCAACAATCTTGCATGTTCTTCACATGTACCCCAAAACCTAAAATGCAATAATAAAAAAACGAAGACATATATTAAAAACACACACAAAGGGATGAGTGGTACACGTGGAGAGCAGGGGCAACAGAAATGAAATAGAAGCACTCCCACTTCTTGGCCTTGGTGGACCAGACAGGATGAAACCCTCAGGTTAGGCTTGAGATAGAACCAACAATTCAAGATACCTTCTCCTTACTGATGTCCTTGAAGTCACCTTTGACAGATGTACCCTAAATGGAAAATGAAGTAAACAGATACAGGCAGCATGTAAAGCTGGTCCTGCCTAGAGCTCTAACACTGTGTGGGTATCCAAAATATTCAAGCTAAAGAGGTGACAAACCCTGTCATTGACTCATTGGAGGAGTTCCGCAAACTCCTACAAATCTCAGCTTTGGAATAAAATAATCAGCATGAGAAAAAAAATTGGAAATCTCTTCCATGTTATTAATTCATAATTTATGTTTCAAAATGCATGGCCCTTCAAAAGATACCATAAATAAAAGACAAGCCATAGACAAGGAGAAAAATGTTTGCATGTCACTAAGCCTACAAAGGATTGGTATAAAGAACTCTTAAAAGTCAATAGTAAAAAAAAAGTAAACATAACTTTAAAATGTGTAAAAGATCTAAACAGATATTCTACCATGCATAAATGACCAAAAATCACATGAAAACACAACATCATTATTCATAAGGGAAATAAAAATTAAATCTATAATGAGAGATCACTACACAACCACTAGAATGGTTATAGTTAAAGAGACAATAACAATGTTTTTGAGGATGTAGCGAAACTGGAACCTAAACACACTGCTGGTAGGAAGATGAAATGGTGCATCTTAGAAAGTTTGGTAATTTCTTAAATATTCATACTCATATTTCATATTCCTAAATGTGAATTTATCATGACTCAGTAATTTCTCTTTTAGGTAGCTACCCAAGAGAAATGAAGACATGTCCACACAAAGGCTTCTATGTGAATTGTCACAGCAGCATTATTCATAATAGCCAAAAGGCAAAGACAATCAAACACCCACTCAACGGTGAATAGATAAACGAAGTGAGACATATTCATTCAAATGAAGTCCTGATATATTCTCCGAGCTGTATGAAACTCAAAAGCATAATGCCAAGTGGAAGAAGTCAGCCACAAATAACCAAATATTGGATGATTCCATTTATATGAAATGTTCTGAAAGGCAAAACTACTGAGACAGAAAATAGATTAGTGGTGGTTGCCTGAGGCTGGGAGTACAAGGGAGTGAAAACAAATGGGCTGTCCAACGTTGCTCTGTTTGCTCCACAGGGAAGTCAGCTCACAACTGAAGTTCTCTCTCTGATGCATTCAGAAGGATGGAACATACATTAAGGAAGAGAACTGGTACTCAAGTTATTTCATAATGGAAGCAAACACTGAGGTAATGTTCCATTTCTATGTGAGCCCAGAGCAAACTCCTTCATATGGGGAGGGTATTCTGAAATTCTCTTTTCTTTGTATATACTTCCAAAATATATTGTAATGACTACTGGTTGATTAAAAATTTTGCAGCAAACCTTTTATACTTTCTTCACCCCATGAAAAGACTTCAAAAACATAAGACATTTCTATTAAGATACACTAGTTTTGATTACTGGGAAGAGTAATTTAAAAGAGTTTAACAAAAAGTAATGTATTATCTCTTATAATCAAAATAAGAAGAGATGTTGCAGTATCATTCCTTCGACCAAGGGTTAGTAACTTTTTCTGGAAAGCCACTTATTTTAGGATCTGTGCACCAAGAAGAAAAATTAAAGATATTATGAAAGTATTTATATAACCATTTAATAGTGTAAAAACCCTTTGTCTTAGTCCATTCTTGCATTGCTATAAAGAAATGACTGAGACTGGGTAATTTATAAAGAAAAGAGGTTTAATTGGCTCATGGTTCTACAGCCTGTACAGGAACCACAGCAGCATCTGCTTCTGGAGAGGCCTCAGGAAACTTATAATCATGGCAGAAGGCAAAGGGTATGCAGGCACGTCTGACTTGGCCAGAGCAGGAGGAAGAAAGAGAGACAGAAGGGGCCACACACTTTTAAACAACCAGATATCATGAGAACTCACTATCATGATGACAGTACCAAGGAGGATGATGTTAAACCAAGGGAAACCACCCCCATGATTTTCCAGTCACCTTCTACCAGGTCCCACCTCCAGCACAGGAATTACGTATCAGTACGAGATTTGGGTGGGTACGCAGATCCAAACCTTATCAATCTGCCCATGTCCCCACCCAAATCTCATGTTTTTCTCACATTTCAAAATATAATCATGCATTCCTAGCAGCCAAAGTCTTAATTCATTCCAGCATTAACTCAAGACCACGGTCCAAAGTCTCATCTGAGACAAGGCTAGTTTCTTCTGCCTAAGAGCCTGTAAAATAAAAAACAACTTAGTGTGCCCACTTTAGCAGCACATACACTAAAACTGGAAGGATCCAGAGAAGATTAGCATGGCCTCTCTGCAAGGATGAGACAAAATTCTTGAAGCGTTTCACATTTAAAACCAACGACAACAAAAACAAGTTAATTTCTTCCAAGATACAATGGGGGTAGAGGCATTGGGTAAATACTCCCATTCCAAAAGGGAGAAATTAGCTAAAAGAAAGGGGCTTTAGGCCCCATGCAAGTCTGAAACCCAGCAGAGCAATCACTGAATCTTGAAGTTCTAAAGTAATCTCCTTCAACTCTATGTCTCATATCCAGGGCACACTGGTACAAGAGGTGCCCAGGCCTTCCTTGGGCAGCTCCACCCCTGTGGCTTTGCATGGTTCAGTCTCCATAGTTGCTCTCCAGGGCTGGCAGTGAGTGCCTGCAGCTTTTCCAGGTGCAGGGTCCAAGCTGCTGGTGGATCTACCATTCTGGGATCTAGAGGACAGTGACCCTCTTCTCACAGCAATGCTAGGCAGTGCCCCAGTGAGGACTCTGTGTTGGGGGTCCAACCCTCCATTTCCCCTCTGCACTGCCCTAATAGAGGGTCTCCATGAGGGCTCTGTCCCTGCAGCAGGCTTCTTCCTGGACATCCAGGCTTTTCCATACATCCTCTGAAATCTAGGTGGAGGCTCTCAAGCCTCAAATCTTACACTCTGTGTACCTGCAGGCTTAACACCATGAGGAAGCCAAAAAGGCACATGACTGGCAGCTCTGAAGCAGTGTCTCAAGATGTACCTGGACCCCTTTGAGCCATGGCTGGAACTGGGGCAGCTGAGATGTAGGGAGCAGTGTCCCAAGGCTGTGAATGGCAGTGGGGTCCTGGGCCTAGCCCAGCAAACCATTCTTCCTTCCTAGGCCTCTGGGTCTGTAATGGGAGGGGGTGCCATGAATGCCTCTGAGGCCTTCTCCCCATTGTCCTGGCTATTAGCATTTGGCTCCTCTTTACACAAATTTCTACAGCCTGCTTGAATCCCTCCCCTGAAAATGGGCTTTTCTTTTCTACCACATGGCCATGTTGCAAATTTTCCAAACTTTTAGGCTCTGCTTCCCTTTTAAATACTATGTAAGTTCCCATTTGATATAATTTCTTTGCTCACACATATGAGCACAGGATGTTAGAAGCAGCCAGGCTACATCTTGAACACTTTGCTGCTGAGAAATTTCTTCTGCCAGATTCCCTGAATCATCATGCTCAAGTTCAAAGTTCCACAGATGCCCAGGGCAGGGGCACAATGCCTCAAAGTTCTTTGCTAAAGCATAACAAAAATGACCTTCACTCCAGTTCCCAGTAAGTTCCTCACACCCATCTGATACCTCATCAGTTTGGCCATCTCTGTCCATATCACTATTAGTTGGGTCACAAGCATTCAACAAATCTCTAAGAAGTTCCAAACTTTCCTCACCTTCCTGTAACTTGTTAAACTGGGTAATGGCAGATGTTGAAACAGTTTTGAGGGCTTCTTCTGAGAAGCCCCTTACCCAGTTCCAAGGCTGCTACCACATTTTCAGGTATTTTTATATCAATACTCCACTCTCAGTACCAATTTTTTGTATTAGTCTGTTCTCACAATGCTATAAAGAAATAAGTGAGACTGTGTCATTTATAAAGAAAACATGTTTGATTGGCTTACTGTTCTACAGGCTGGGCAGGAAGTACAGTGGGTTCTGCTTCTACGGAGAACTCAAGAAAGTTACTATCAGGGCAGAAGGTGAAAGGGAAGCAGGCACATCTTACAGGGCCAAAGCTGGAGCAAGACAGAGAGGGTAGGTGCCACACGCTTTTAAACCACCAAATCTCATAAGAACTCACTATCATGATGACAGTACCAAGGAGGGATGATGTTAAACCATGAGAAACTGTCCCCATGATTCATTCACCTCCCCATGCCCCACCTACAGCATTGAGAATTACATTTCAACATGAGATTTGGCTGGGGACACAGATCCAAACTACATTACCCTTCTTATTTCACAAGTCATACAAAAACTGGCAGGTAGCCAAATTTGGTTGACTGACCCTAGTTTACCAACCCCAACCCACACATACTTCAAACACACACCAATGTACACAACTGCTCTACTTCAATCTGTCTCTGTCACACACATACCCCACCCTACAAATATTTTTGAACACTTTCCTGTGGCAATGTAGAAGAAGACCCTTGAAAAAGTTGTGTTCTACAGCAGAAATTGCTTATAACTTGCAAGTTGGCCAGAAAATAGGGTTTAGGGAAAAGGACTAAAATCAAGTGTATCTTAATTAGGGTTGGCTCCAAGGAAAGTAAAAATATTTAAATCTTTGTTTCATCTTCTCTGACAGATTGAGAATTACTTTGTCAAACAGATTTTTCCTTCTAACAAGTTTTCATTTTAATATCAAATCCTATCTAATAACAGTTCTCCATAGTTCCACTGCAAAAGTAAACCAAAAAGTTTTATGGTTTCACTACTGATCTCAGGCTCTAGGTCAATAAAATGAAGAGATTCCGAGCTAGAGACAGGCTTGGATACAGACTACCGAATAGAAAGAACATAATCAGCCCACAAACTAGGCTCAACTGTCTTAACTCCATTTCTTAAACGAACCTGGCTTCAGGACCAAGCGACTCCTCAGGAAACTCTTTAAGCTCCTAACAGCCATGGTTCTTCAGGCATTAGGCCAACAACTATAGCCTAGTTTTAGCTTTTAAAGACATGACATCATGAAAACTATAATTACAATCAGGTCTCCCACTGGCAGCTGTGAAAGAACAGGACCTTCCAAGAGGCTGAGCTACACCTGTAGCCCCATCTGAAAGATGCTGAAAGTGTACTGGAATGCCTGCTGGGAAGGCTACAGCCAATGCCGAATAAATGGCCTTCAGTGAAATCTGGCACAGCCAGTTTAATCATGAACATTAAAATCTCTTGTAAAATCAAGGCGCTATTAAGCTAAATCATCCTTTGATTTTTCAGTTGTTTCAGAATCAATTCCCAGATGTTCATCTACCTACATACCTATTGATAGTCGTTCTCTATAGTTATTTCCCATAAAAGTTGCAAATATTCATTGGGTTACCTAGCAGCTCTTTCAGATCCCTCACTTACCAAGGGAACACAAGTAGCCATTTAAGTCTCTCAGGGTGATTCCATGGGGCTGCTGGAAAGGGAAATGTTCAAATATGAAAGGAGAGTCCCACTTCTTCCCATCCCCAGTGAGGCCTTGGGGCACATTCCACTTCTCTTTTCTAAAATAAGATACTCAGCAAAAATATCATGGTGCTAAAACATCACATGGATATTTAAAGGGCAAACCCAAGGAGCAGCAACTGAGTAATAAAGAAATCAGGAACTTTGAGCTTCTGTTCCTCCTTCAATAGAACAAAAGATCATTGTTACAGGCTCACTACATGGGGATACTGAAGTGGAAGATGGGATAGCTATGTAGACGTAGATCATCTAGGCATTTTACAAAACGTTAAGTTCATGGAATAAATTCGCTGCAACATGCAAATTCTGATCTGGAGACTCATTGGTGCCCCCAAAAAATTTCCTTGAAATTACAGCACTACAGGAACCTGTATTTTTGAATGGTGACCTATTCAGGACCGAGAGGCTGGGGCTGGGAATAAAATACTGTCCAAGAATCAAAGAGTGGCTACCCAGGTCAAACCCCAAGCCCCATTCCTTTATGCACACACAAATAACTACCACCCCGAACTTCACTAGATCAGATTTTTCCCTGTTTTTGATGTCAAATCATGACATTAATGAATTCCAGTTCATTTATACCCATTGGCCACTCTACATGCATAGATACTTCTTCTCTTTTCCTGGGAGCAAACTACATAGTTTTAATAACATTTACGTTATTAAATTCTCTGAATACTAACACTGCATAATTCTGGATGCTCAAAAATGTTATTTAACTACGTGCTCCTTTGTAAAAAGTCTATCCACATAGGTAGGTAATCTGGGTGATTTTAAAAAATTTATTAAGCTATAAGACTTGGATTAAATCATAGCTATTGCTTCTTTCAATGGGCCAACATCATTTAAGTACTTACACATTTAGCAAAGGTACTAAAATTATAGAGAAAGTGCTGTATCAGGCAAGTAATTCATGTATCTTTATCTTAGTTCCACTCATAGATGTTTTAAATACTTTTTTACATTTTTAAATACTTAATTTTGCTAAATTGATTTTCAATATATCAGTTGATTTGAAAATCAACTCCCTTATATTTTCTAAATGAGAGAAAAAGAAAAAAGAATTGCGCAATGCTTATACTGTGGAATACCCTTGCTATCTGCAATCCCCACTTCTTCTATTACTGCTGAAATATGTGTACAGCATACTGATTGCCTCTCAGAACCCTGTCTAACTTAACCTTTCTGACTTGGTGTTTCACTTAAGATATTCATGATTTTTGTGGTTTCAAAGGGCAATAAATTTTACTTCATTTGTGTTTCCTTCTCTGGAAGTCACTGAAAAATGTATTTTCAAGCTCAATATTGAATGCTAACATAAGATCTATGAATAAAATTTGTTTTTTTAAAGGGTATCAAGATAAGGCCAAGAGGGCTGGGCATAGTGGCTCATACCTGTAATCTCAGCGCTATGGGAGGCTGGGGCAGGCAGATCACCTGAGGTCAGGAGTTCAAGAATGGTCCTGGCCAACATGGTGAAACCCTGTCTCTACTAAAACTATAAAAATTAACTAGGCATGGTGGCACAAGCCTATAGTCCCAGCTACTCAGGAGGCTGAGGCAGAAGCATCGCTTGAACCCAGGAGGCGGAGGTTGCAGTGAGTAGAGATCACACCACTGCACTTCAGCCTGGGTGACAGAGTGAGACTGTCTCAAACAAAGAAACAAACAAACAAAAAAGATAAGGCCAAGAAACCGGTGTCTACCTGAGAATGTTCAGCATTCTCCTCTACAAAATGAGATGGCTGAACTATGAGAATACTAGTGCTAATAAATTGTTTAATCAGAATTCATCATTAGCCTTTGTCTTCAGAAAGCAGAGGTCCACAAGCAGCCAGCAGATAAGCACGCAATACTATTGACAAATGCAAATTAAGTTTAA